TAAGAAGAATCACAACTCCATGTTGTATCATCTTGTTCCCACTGATATATGTGTCCATACATTTGTAAATAAACGGATGATAGCGCTAGTGTTCAGTGCAAGAATGTGCATTTTTTAATGGATGGATAGAAACCATGGAAACTACCTTTTGCGATGGAGGAAAGATCATTTTGTCTGGTTATGAGTAAATCTGAAAGGAAATAGCCTCCTTTTTTAGATGTATAAGCTCACCGAACAATCCAACAGGTAATTGGATTTTGTACATTTAGAATTTAAGGTCGTATGTTGCATTCCAGTCATGTCGGATTTCGGAGCTGGGAATGACGTAACACCTGAGTTGATGGCGTTTCAGTCAACAAGTCGGAAAACCAAGATGGACACCTTCTGTTAGCCGTTGTTAGCTGTTGTTAACAATTGTCAACTGCCGTTAGCCATCGTCAGTTGTTGTTAGCAGTAGTCAGTTGTTGTTAGTTGTTGTTAGCTATACAAGTTGTAAACAACGCACAACAGTATTTTACTTTTACAAACACCATAGCACTGTGTTCACATTGGGCAGCACAACATATACTACTTATTTAATTTCACAAAAACAAAACAGAAGAGCAAAAAAATAATACATTACGAGAGCTTTCACTGTTACTCTTTCCTGTTGATGCACTGCACTGCCATCTTGATTATGACGTTGTTGTCAATTCGGGGTTGGTAAGGATCGTCCACCTTCCAAGTTGGAGAACCGGCTTCGGGGGGCATTCCAGATGAATTTCTAACTCGGAGCGCAGAAATCTTGACTTCCGAGTACAACTGGAACGTAGCAATAGACCCCCATCTTCTTGTCCTGTGCAGCTTTTCCTTAAGAGAGAACTTTGGCATTTTTCAACCTGGGCCATATTTTCCCATGTGTTTGTGTGTTCCTGACTGATGGGGAGAATGGTTTATGAAATTAGTCCAGTATTGAGGGAGAGCGAAGCAGCCTTAAGACATGCTGGATGACCAAATTAGTAGTCTGTAGAGAGGGAGGTAGTTAAGGCAGGGGAACAAAGTGCATAGCCTTGGTAAAACAGTCAACAATGGTCAGGAAAGTGGTATTAACTTCAGAAGGAGGAAAACCTGTGACAAAATCATCAGCAATGTGAGACCGGGGCCACTGAGTAATGGGAAGGGGACGTAGAAGGCCAGCGGGAGCATGGTGAGAAGTTTTATTGCAGGCAGAGGCAAACTCTTAAGTATTAGAGGAGGTTAAAGGCCACTAGAACCTTTGTCAAAGATGATGCAGGGTCTGATGAAAACCAGGATGATGTGCGACCTTTGAGGAATGTCCCCACCTGAGCACTGAAGATCTAGCAGCAGGTGGAACAAACAACTTATCCTGAGGACATTGCTCAGGAACTGGTACAGGTACCTGAACCTCCTGGACCACTTTTTCAATCTCCCATCTGGCTGCCCCTACCACACAGGAAGTCAGTAGGATGATCTCCTCTACAGACTTCTCAAAAGCAGGGGAAACCTGACGATGTTCCTGGAGCCTGGCCGGTAGGTGATGGTGAAGTTTAAACAGCCCAGGGATAAAGCCTAACTGAGTCTGATGTGAGTTAGGACAACACAGGAGCAGTGAAAACATCTGTTTCAACTTAACAGAAGCTGTTTCAGCAGCAAGTGACCATTCAAATGGGACTTTCCCTTAAGGTAGCTTGGTTAAAGTTGTAGCAACTTCACTATGGTCATAAATAAACCTTGGATAGAAATTGGCAAACCCCAGGAACCCTTGAAGTTGCTTTCTTGACGTAGGATCGAAGGAAGCAATTCTATCCTGCAATCATATGGTCTGTGAGCAGGAAGAGACAAGGCCCTGTCTTTACTGAAAACTTCCTGGATGTCATGATACTTGGGGGGACAGGTGAGACCAACTAGTTTAGGAGGAGCTAGTGTGCCAGTAGTGGCGGAATGTAGACAATAAGAATGGCAGAAGAAACTCCAATTAATAATGGATGATCATGACCAGTCTATGTGTGGGTTGTGTAACTTTAGCCAGGGAAGACCTAACACTTGTGATAATGGAGGTGAGAAAATAAAGTACAGGTATGGTTTCAAGACTGTTAACAGAGAGAAGGCGGGATACAGGGACAGTGCAATCAGTGACACGAGCTAGGAGCTTCTTATCAAGTACAAAAAACTTTTTGGGCCTAGGTAGGGGTTCAGAAGGGATCCTGGACTGGGTGGTGGTTGATCCGTAAGCAGAGGAGGTGGAGCTGAAGGTGCATGTTGTCTAGGGGGCCTGGCTGGGAAAGCCTGTTTGCCTGCTTTCTTCCTATATCTCTCTCTAAGGCAGTTATCAAGTGGCTAGGGATATTAACTCATTAAAGATGCTGAACTAAACGCAAAAGATTCTCACTCTAAAAATGAATCAAAAGTAAAGGGAATTACAGAAACAGATACAGGGTGTTAGAAATGGGCAAGCCATTTACAGGAATCTTTCAGCGCAGGAAGGCTTAAATCCACAGTGCTACTACCAGAGACATAAAAAACAGAGCACCAGTTTGTGTATGCACAAAAATCGGAACCCTGTCCTCGAGTGAACAAAGCTGAAGATTCCATCCTGGCATTTCCCTTGTTAAAACCAGTACGCATCTTTCCTGAACCAGTGACACCAGATCCACCTTTTATGTGTGTTTGTTTACATCAAACAAGTTTTATGTTCTGTGTCTTATTCTTTGTTTTTTGTTCATTTCTGCTGCAGCATTACAGCGCCACTTACAGGCCAGGCATATATACAACAGCATTTTCAGTGACACACATTGCTTGAGATGATTCTGTATTTCCAGAATACTTTTAAAACAAGAAAGGAAATTAATCAGTTCTGTCTTCGTGTGGACATGGCCTGGATTTTTCCTCTCAGCTGGCACCCTTTTTTACTTTGCTTTGTATGAAAAATACTGGTACCTGCCTCTAGAGTCCCAAAGGCCAAAAGGGCCTGATAGAACTCTTTCTTCAGCTTGACAGCACCCCTCACCAAAGGTGTCCACCAACAGGTTTGGGTATGACTGCCTAAACAATTAAGACCAGAATATGGCCCACTTGAACTAAATGTCCCCCACTTCCCCTGGGACATGGTCGAAGCTATCCTGGAGGTGGTAGTGGAAGCTCCTTCTAATGGGAGGATGGATACTCTGAGCTACTGTTAGGAGCATAGGCACCAACAACTGTCAGGATCTGTCCACCCACCCTAAGTTGAAGCGAGCCCACCGGGGTGAACCCCTACATACAGGCACCAAGCATTTTTCTGCAGGATTTTGCTACTTATGTCACAAAAAATTCATTTACAATAGAGAAAAGTAACAACACACCGATCCCGATCATACTGCACATTTTGATGTGTAATTTGTACAACTCTTCAAGCTGTAGGACTAGTAGCGAATCAAAATTTGTCCAGAAAAAGAACAAGAAATATTCCACAGTATAACAATAGCGTCTCTTTGCGTTTTCCCGTTGACCTAATTATTTGAAATCTCTGAAGGATCTCACCATGATGTACAAACCTTGGCAGTAGCCCTGTGGCCCCTTCAAAAATTATCAGAGGGAATTTTCTAGTATGTCTGTGGTATTTTGGGTTCCAGGTTGTACAATGATGGGAGGCGCAGTCTCGTTGTCCATACTAAATACAGTCTATGGTCCTGCCTGATAAAGTATCTAAATGTGCTGTAGAAAGATTTTTATTACTTGTTTACTTTTGTTACTTTTCTGGTCGTTAAAACTAGTTTTTAGGTAAAAATTAGTCACTGTTTGTATTAGAGCTCAATGATGAACTATGACTTAAATAATTTCTACAGTGAAATAAATTCTTACACATATTTTATCTGCAAAAGCAAGTTAAATTCAGTTTTATATCTAAATAACAGTTTTTCTCTAAAGTTTCAACAACAACAAAAAATGTAGTTTACACTAAAAAACTCTAATCTAAGCATGTGATCTAATTTCTGGCACAAAAATGTTCTCATCAGGCTCATCTGCCAGACAAGTCCAGAAAAAGTCTTGTGTCAAGATATTACTCGCCAAAAATACAAACTGAGTTGCTTTTATGAGTCAAAGACCTTTTGTTTTTCTTTGGTTACAGTCTGTGGTTTGATCTCAGAATATCAGGACTCCTCGTAGCCAATAAAAGAGTTTGCTTTGAATGAATGATACCCAAATGTTTGAAAAGTTTCTGCAGCGATTTAGAAAAACCAGCAGGTGTCAGCATTGACTGGGCCACTGTAACAACATTAAAGCTTCCTCCACCACATATAAATACTGTATATACTACAGTAAATAATTGTTGTGTATTGGTCATTGTGTAATACTGATTATATTTTGGCAATATTGTTTCGATTCTAATGCCAATAAGGCTCTTTGAATTGAATTGTATAGAATGGTATACAAAGAAAAGTATTGAAAATTGTTTGGTAACATGGATTGAAAAGAAGAAAATAAAAAGGAGTAAGAAACATAAAATAAATTTGTAAGGATAGGATGGAAGTTAATTTTAGATTAGATAAGTTTAGATACAACTGTATTAATCTTTTTGACAAGGTTCCCTCAAAGAAATTAAAAAGAATGCTACATTAACTCAAAAGGATTTTTTGTTAAAATAGTTAATATTGTGGGAAGTTTAAAGGGTTAACAAGGAGATAATGTTACAGGGAGTCAACATGGCTGTTGATTCCTGCTTATTTAAGGAGGCCTTTTTTTATATTATGAAATCAAAATAAGAAAGAAATAAGAAACATTACCTGGTTAGTTTATTTTAATGACATCCCAGAAACATGCAGCCTTTAGTTCCCAGCTGACACTTAACTGACACTTCGACAGAAAAGGTATCTTCAGTTTACGTCCATACTCTCGCGGGATCTCCGGTTGCTTAGGAACCAAAGTCAACAGATCCTTTGGACACAGTTACACTGCAAACCGAATGTTGAGCTTTCAAAAAAGGATTTACACGAATTTTTATTGAACCTTTTCGTTCAATTATGGAGGTAAGTGCTCGCACTTGTTAATTGGTCATGACCCGTCTTTAAATTTGAAACGATAGGCCTATCCACGGATTCGTAAATATTGTTTTTATATAACATTGTCTTTAAGAAAAAAATCCCTTTTATAATTCACACATCACTCTGTCTAGAACCCGATTTTTATGTCAACGAGCCTCATCTGCACAGTAAAACTTATTTTGGCTTCTCGATGCAGCAGGCTGTGTTGGTCCGTAGGGACCGTCTGCAAGATGCCATACTGAAAAAGGCTCATCCAAAATATTTAAGAATTTCACCAAAGAAGGATGTAATGTAATGATAATAATTATCAAAAAAAGAAAAAAAAAAAAGCAATCCTTTCTGAATGTACTAAAACGTATAGGCCTTATGGAAATATCATCTTGAATATAATCTCAAGCATTTTTAGTTATCAAATAATTCATAATGGCAAAATTATTTATGTTCTAACCATTATTTTAGATTTTTAAAAAATCTGCGGCAGTGCATTTAAATGTTTATATTTTTTTAATCTAAAATTTGCTGTACTGTCAGAAGGAGTTCATTTATGTGTGAGGTTACTAAAGGGGCTCCATGCTTTTAAATCATGGAGTTATTACCTATCATTTCTATTATTTTAGGTTAAAATTAATCCCCAAAATTACATATATCTTTTAAAGCTTTTTATTGCACAAGGTGATTTTGATTATGTCAAACTTTTATTACTAGTGATGTTATTTGATATTTTTGTTGTGCCTTTTTTCGGTCTCGCACTTTGCAGGCGGTCCCTACGCACAAAATTCTTCTGCATGGACAGAGGCCAATATTAATTGCTCTGCTTAAAGAAGGCTCGTAGGGTGAAAAAAAACGGGCTGAAGTTTGCAGAAGATGTAACTGTGTTTTAAAAAAACGTATTATTTTCCTAACAACATTATACAGTTGAAAGTTATTGACCCCGGATCTCCCATCTGTGAATATTGTTCCAATTTTACCGACATGGACAACATCTCAAAATTCGACGGTCACGTTTGGACAAATATGTCAATGGTAGCAAGTTTTTGACAGTATTATAGTCATGAGTGAATCAGGCCTACCGACCGTTATTCTTTTGAACAATTTCGTGAATTTACGTGTAACCTACTGCGATGCTGAACTCTTTTAATTGATCTATTGTAAATGAAAACCTAAAATGTATCATTTGGTTTAGAATGGTAGAGGGATCTTTTTACTAAAGTTATCCTGCCGTCCCCACACTAACTCGTGCCAATTGTTCCCTCAACTGTGTCTGTGCTATATTCAAAGGAGACTGGAGCAGCAGGAGAGGACACATTTGACTCCTTGGCGGAGTTCCAGTTGGTCCTCAGTGAGCTGGTTGGAGACCAGAGTCTAGACAAGGTCCGGCTGGAGTATGAGAAGCTCGTCCGTGCTCTGAAGAACTCCAGGGACAATGAAAAGAGGCTGATGTGTAAATGCAGAGAGCTGAATGCAGAGATTGTGTCCATCTCCACCAAAGTGTCAGCTGCCCTGAAGCTGTCAAAGGAGGATGAGACCACCATTTCTTCTCTGAAGAGGGTAGGAAGCACAAAACCAGGGAAATAATACCTAATCTAATTATTCATCTTAAGTTTCCCTCTATAATAAAATGGAGAAAATAGAGTTACTTAAAGTAAAACTCAGTTAATGGTTTAAATTTGTTTTTATGTAGATACACTGTAGGTCTACTGCTCTCAGGTCTTCAGAAAAGCTGTTCTACAGACGTGAGCAGTAATAGAGCTGCCTCACTGTGAATCTCTGTCTGCACCATTAGAAAACTACTACCTAAAGACCTTACCACTCTCACAGGCTCATGGTAAAAGCAAATCTAATATGATGTATAGGTTCATGCGTGATGTTCAGGCCTTTATAATTCAATGAAAGAACCTCGGCTGCTGGTAGTGCAGAAACGGGGTGTAACATGAGTCCTCTTTCTAGTCCAGTGTTTGCTTCAAGAGTCATGTTTCTTTGATGTTTTCTAAGTTTTTCACACTTCTAATTCTCTAGACTTCACTCATTGATTGCCAGAACGTGTATTTGTCATTGATTGCCAGAACGTGTATTTGTTTTTACTTCAGGAGCTGGATAAGGCTTGGAAGATGGTTGATGCTGCTCATGAAAAAGAGAAAAAAGACAAGGAGACAATCAGGAATTTAAAGGAAGAAGTGGCCAACCTGATCAAAATGAATGAACAACAGGCTGGCTTTTCTGTGGACCAGGAACAGAGGTGAGGTTAGAGGTCATTAGGAGGAAATCTTGATTGTTGCTGATCCACAAGCTTTTGTTTGCCTTGTATTTTTGATTTCCTCAATCTATTTAGGATTGGTAGGACCTAATAAATGTAAAACCTGAATACAGTCTTCAGGCAAGAGGTAGAATTCACCTTAAGTGATGTCCTTGTATGGGGACTATCAGATTTAGTTACCATTTAACATCATAGAGTCACCATTGTGTAAGATGATGTAGAACTTGATCTTAATGTCCTACCATTTCCAAGCAAAAGACAAAGTTCTGTAAATAACTTTAATGGGAAACAAGCAAAATTATTTGCCAAATCCCCTTTTTTTGGGCTGTTGAAGCAGTCGGTCAGCCAGGTAGGGCATCAGTGAGCAGAGTTGTATGAAGTACTAAACAAATATACTTGAGGTGAAGTATGGTTACCTTACCAGAAAATGACTCAAGTCAAAGTGAATGTCTACCATGATAATTCTACTTGAGTCGAAGTCTTAAAGCATATCACATTCTTTCTACTTAAGTATCAAAAGTACTCAAGTAAATGTACTATTTGACCAAAGAAAGAGTCCAGATGTCTTTATATGTGTACTTCATGTTTAGCACTGCTATGTCTTGTCAATGTATTTTGCCCTTGTGACAGAGACAGACAGAGGAATTTATTGTCATTGCACATGTCACAAGTACAGAGCAACGAAATTGCATTTCAGTTCAACCCGTCTAAGAAATTTAAAAAAGACAGACTCATACAGGGGTGGCCACAAGAGCGGCACCCTGTTTTCTTGGATGAGAAAAAAAGGAGAACAGGTGGGAGGAAGAGGGAAAAAAAGTCCCACCCATTTTCTGCCTCCTACTCTCTGCCGTCTGATAACTGGAGACGAGCTTGGAGAGTTTTGATCCAGAAACAAAGTTCACCAGAGGAGGGAGTTAGGAGGATAGGGCAGAGCATCTGTCTGCATAACATGCAGGAGTGGAGACATAACAGCCTGCCAAGGCCGGTGTGGGGGAGCCAATGAAGATAACAATGAATTTTGGGACAGGCAGACTGTAATTTTCCATCTACCTTAAGTCTCTCTGGTCTCTGATGGCGTTGACCCAAATATCCAAATTTGGTGGCCAAGTCAGCCGAGCTGGGCTATCAGTTTATCAAAGGATAAATCCAATGTGCGAAGGAGTTCATCAATCACAACCAGCCTGCGGTTTTGATCGAGAATCGCATCCAGCTTGCGATTAAGCTCACATAATGCTTGAGTCTGAGTGTTGACAGCCCTGCATATTCCCTCAGTTACAATGGGCAGGTTCCTGATTGCCAAAAGTGCTGCCAATGTCTCCCGAACTTTGCAATAGATCAGGAAACTGCTAACTCCAAACAGCAGAATGCCTGTTATCATAATTCCAGTTATGTAAATGTCTTCAACATCCTCAATGGAAAGAATTGACAGGCACACGACCCTCCACTTCTCATAGGAGTCCAACATGTACCCGGCTGCAAACGTTCCATCAGGACGGGCGGGTTCTCCTTTACCCAGTCTTCTCGTGGAGAAAATTTGGTCGGTTGCGTTTGGAGACAAGCTGATCAAATCCACGATTTTAGGAGAGAAAGGATGAGAGAGGCTGCAGTAGTTCAGACAGAAAAAGCACAGGACAAAGAGCAGCAAGCAGGTAGATAAGGGTAGGGAGCGAGCGAGAGGAAAAGTGTCCGCCTGCGTTGAGAGCAAAAGGGTGGCGGACTAAGAGTTTATGACTGGAGCCAACAGGTCTGAGTTCAGCAGAATTTGTTCTTATGGCACAGGAAGGCCAAACTGGAGCATTGAGGACCCAGGGTCTCAGGAGGGTCTAAAGCTTTAAACGTAACTTAGTTTTCTTTGTTAATTCAGTCAGTAACATATGATTTCTGACAGTTACTAATTTTTTATAAAAGGTCCCACTTAATATCATGTGTGTGTGCCTTTACAATAACAGAGACAGGTAAGGATATGGGATGTTTTACAAACTTAGCATGACTTCTTAAACTGTTCAAATGTTATTTATTAATTCATCTATTCCTACTGTTTTGTTGTGTAGTTAATTATGGTTATCTGCGAAATCCTCCAAAATCTCCAGACATCAGTTTTGTTGAGATCCTACAACCTAAGAGCTGAGATAGCTGCTTTTAGGATATTGTGTAGAAACTGTAAATAAATTTTCTATTGACTTTTTGATTTTTTTTCAGTGAATTATTAAAATTAAACGAGGTGCTGACAAAGGAGAGGGATCAGCTGCAGACGGATGTGGAGGATCTGAGGGAGAAACTGAAACAGGCCAACACAAACCAGCAGGAGGTGGAAGCTAAACGAGACGTTGCTCTGGAGAGTATTTCTCAGGTACAGAAGATTCAGAGTCATGTACCTCTTAATGTTCATTAGGGTTGCCAGATGGGAAATATAGAATTATCATACCAGAGACTCAAAATTATCGTATTTTGGGGGAAATTATTGTACACCTGTCATATTCAAAATAACAATCTTACTGTTGCATGATTGTCACACATAGTCACTCTGTTTAGCGTCCTACGGACACTTACAATTTTGTGGCTGCAGTTTTGTGGTCATTCACTGCCTTGCCCCACATCAGCAGCATATGATCAACAGCTCCAATTCAGCTGTGTTACTCTAATGCGTTCCCTTTAAACAAATGACATGTGGGAACTTATGAGCCAAATCATGAGACCTTGAGGCCACCTACTTTTTTGAAATGGTTTTCATAAAAACTGACAAGGAAATGAAGGTTATTCTGACTTCACTTAGTGAAATCTATTTTAGACACAAAAATCAACTTGTCCTCACATGCTGTTTCGGCTCCCGTTCATCATTGTCCTCTTCAGCTCATTTTTTTCAACTGAATCCTCGACTGATCATGATTGACGGCCAATCATGCTCATTGTTTGAAGACAAACGTCACTCAAACTACAATTGGATGGAAACATTACATGGTAAAAGATGCCTTAAGGGTTCATAAACAAAAAAAACTGAAAAAATAAAGGGCTCTATTTTCGCGCCTCCCTGGCGACGTGGCGCAAGCGCAGCGTAAGTCAGGTCTGCCACGCAAACAAGGCGTTCCCAAGCACAATTAAGTATTTTGGTGAGCGGCACAGCCCGGTGTAAGTGTCCCCCCTCCCTAACTCAGCCCCTCTCAGTGGCGTAAGTCGTAGGAAGGGTGGACAGAGGGCGTTGAGTGGGTTTAACACAGCCGGGACCTGTATTGACCAATAAAATCAGCTCCTCTCCTTGCCTTTAATTCCGCCACCTGCGAGGCGTATAACAATTTTCGTGAAGTAGTCAAAGAGATCAAGAGATGTCTGAAGACAGTAATGCCACATGATGGCGACAGAAGGCAGCTCCTCAACAAGTGTCACTATAAGCGCTGCAGAGGGCGTCCTCCACACTGTCTCATATAAACACAAATGGATTTGGTGTGTGTAAGGTTGGACCCACTGGTAAGACAAACACCCTTTTCCACAAATAAAGACACTCACACAAAGTTGCATATATTTAAACCTCACGTGACAAAGGTGGGTTGTGCCCACAGATCACAACAGGCAATAATGGCATTAAAATCGGAACCATCTGTGCATAAATGACGCATCGCTCCATGGCCTGGCTCTTTCTTTCATAGATGTTGGCATATAAAATAAATTTGGCTCACAAAACTGAATATTATAATATTCGTATGTAGGCTTAAAGTAAATAACTCATCTGATCACTGAAGCAAATCATCTGTTCAGCCGCCGCAGCAGCAGCTGCAGCAGGACGGGGAGAGGACATGGAGACATGTCCAGGTCGAGCGGCGTGAGAAATAAGAGGAAGAGGAAGAAAGAAAAGGAGGGAGACGAAATACATGTCTTGTTTACTTCATCATGTGTGTTTATTTACTGGATATTTAATTTAATTTAATGCGGTTTCAGCTGTGTTAATTCGGTCAGGTTGAGTGTCCAAACGCGTGCCAAACACGCTCATCAGATCAGATATAGATCAGAATATATCTATAGATCTAAATGTATGTGCTGACTCTGATTATTAGTTGTTGTTGATTATTTATTGCACGGAAGTGTGCCTGACACTGTGGAAACCTGCAAGTGATGCATTGGTGACGTATGCCGATACACCGCCGGTCTACCGAAATACCACTAGACCAGCTGTGCTCTGCCTGCGCTGAAAGCTGACCAGGTTTGAATCAGCGAGCTATCAGTGCACTTTACATGCCGGCGGCGAGCACGAAAATGTCACTGCGCCAGCTGATTCTGTCGACACCTCCCCCTGCCACGTCACCACGCCCAGCTTGGCGGATCTCGGTGCGCCTCAGTCAACGAAAATACCAAACTGGCTGTACGCCGGGCTCTGCCAGACGAAAATACCACTGCCACCCTCCGCCGCGTCACCTGCGGACACGAAAATAGAGCCCAAAGTGTCAGGCAGACTGAAAGCTGCCACAAAACTGTCAAATTATCATACATGTAGCCTTTTTTCAGGGTTATTGATTATACAGAGGGCAAAATTATCGTACAATAACTATCATACACCTGGCAACCCTAATGTTCATAGTTATGTTACATTTTTTATTCATTGGTAGAGACTCAAAGGGTTTCCTTGCTGATTTTATCATGTTTATGCAAAACTTTTGACAACTCTCACCTTGCCTACCTTTTTTAAAGTGTCTGTGGACACTTTCCAGTATTTCCAGTATGTGTAAAAGGCATCATGAAAAATTGCCAAATCATCCTAACATTAAGACAGATTGCTCCAGAGGTGATATTTTAGCATCTATATCACCACTGCTCTGTGTCTGACTGCAGCTCCAGCAGGAGCTCCAGGTGCAGCAGAACGAGATCTCCAGAGAGATGAGGTTTAAGGAGAAGCTGGACAAGGAGGTGAAGCAGCTGCACATGGACATGGAGGCAAAGACGGGAGAAATCAAAGCTCTGAATCTGCAGGGTCAGAAAGTCAAAGAGGAGCAGCAGAGACTGGAACAGCAGCTGAAAGAGCTCAAGGTGAGACATTATTACGAGTCACTGGAAACACTGAGGTTATTACAGCAGGAATAACTGTGAGTACACCTGAACAACAGGATTACCTCAATCATAATTTCACTGTTTTATAAAATCAAAGTAGAAGTTTATGTGGACATTGAGAGACCACCAAGCTTATTATCAACTCTTAGTCCAAAACCAGCATCCTTGATAGTATGGGGATGATCAGAGTTCATGTCATGGGTAGCTTCCACATCTGTGAAGGCTCCATTAATGCTGAACAATATCTACAGGTTTAGGAGCAACATCTGCTGCCATCCAGACAAAGACTTTTTTAGGAAAGACCTTCATATTTTAGCAAGACAATGACAAACCACATTCTGACAACAGGAATTACAACAGCATGGCTCTGTAGGAGAAGAGTCTTGCTGCTGATAAAACTGGTCTGCCTTCAGTCCTGACCTTTCCCCCATTGAACACATTGAATGTAAACTGTACAACTAAGAACTTTCGGAAAGCTGAAATCCACTACCTGGCAGTGGCAATAATGGGACAACAACAGAAACTGCTTCATGGGTTCACAAACATTAACAGTGTTGTAAAAAGATGAGGTGAATGGTAAACATGTCCCCGTGTCAAAATGTTGCTGGAATCAAAGTTAAAAAATGAATTTAATAAATCAGTGTTGTACTTTCAACATTTGATTTGTTGTATTTGCAAAATTTTCAGTTTAATAGTTGCTACAGATGATCTAAGAACCGACAAAGTCAGATTATTTATTCATTTATTTATTTATTTATTCATTCATTCATTCATTCATTTATTTATTACATTTTCCACCACCTCCCACCTGGTTTTGGAATAAGGGACATGCATGGACTTAAATCAAGTATAAGAATAAGAAGAACTTTATTGATCCCCGAAGGGAAATTCAATTGTCTGTTGTCTCACGTAATATGTCTATAAAAGATATCTACTATTTACACAAGAGTTATAAAGTCTGATGGCTGTTGGTACTAAAGATCTTCTGAATCTTTCTCACCTGCAGCAGAGAGAGAGGAGCTGTCCACCACCATTTGCCTTTTGATCCATTAAGGTGTTGTGAAGTGGGTGATCCATGTTCTTGAGAATAGTCTCCACCTTCCTCAGTGTAGATCTCTCCTTCACATCCTCCACTGAGTCCCCCCCCCCCAGCAGACTGCAGTGTAGAACAGCACACTTGCCACCACAGACTGATAAAACATCTGCAGCGTCTTACTACAGATGTCTATTGATCGGAGTCTTCTCCACTCGTACTGTTATGATATGACTAAATTCTCTTGGAACATAATATGGCCGAAGAGCAACTGCCAACAGTTCAATATCTGGACAACACAACTTCTCCGTGACAGTTATTTGTGAAGGGTTACACCGTCTCTGGTTGACAAATAAAGCCAGACCTCCTCCTTTCTTCTTGCCACTAGCTTGAGCATTTCTGTCTGACCTTATGAGAGTGAAGCCAGGTAGATCCACACTGGAGTCCGAGTTGTTTTGATTCAACCAGGTTTCAGTAAAACACAGGAAACTGCACTCACGGTATGCTTTCTCAGTCTTCACCAATATCTCCAGCTCCTCGCTTTTGCTGGGCAGAGAGTTGACGTTTCCCATGATGATTGATAGAAGAAAGGGTTTATATCGCAACCTCCTAGCATTCATCTTTGCCTTCACCTTTGCACCAGAAAGGTAACCATGATAACACCTCCTGATGTCCTCTGGAATTCCATGCTGTTGCCCAGATTTGCTTTTCCTGAATGAAAGGAGCTCTTCTCTTGAGTAAACTCTTCGCCCAGACCAGACTTGCAACAACCTCTTGGTTCAAGCGCATCATTTGAATGCTGATTATTTAATTAATTAATTAATTAGTTAAATAAAATATTAATTAATTGCATTAATTAATACAAAATAGCACTTCATTCAGACTTTTTACTGAAACCCAACCTATCAGAACCTTTCACAAAGGTGTAATTGTAGTTTATTATTAGCAACCTCTTTATCCTAAAACTTGTTTATCCTCTACTCTATGGTGACAGGTCCTGAACGAGCGGACCCTGAAGGATCTGGAGCAGACACAGGTGAAGAACAGCAAACTTCAGCAGGAGTGTGAGCAGCTCTCATCAGTCAAAGAGCATCTGACCCTGGAGAATCAGCAGAGCACTAATGAACTTAAGGTAAACATTACTTTGACTTTGACTTTGACTATGAATGAATGCTGGAACATGAAATGTGAGGACAACGAACTGGCAACATGACTGTGACACAAGTGGGGTTTTATCCAGAAGGTGATACTATATTATACAATACTACAAGAACTTTATTGATCCCCAAAGGGAAATTTGTTTGTCTGGAGTCTCATCTCATCGACTTTTTATAGAAAATTGTAAAGTCTGATGGCTGTGGGTACTAAAGATCTTCTAAATCTTTCTGTCCATCTCCTTTGTCTTTGAGGTGTTGAGGAGGAGGCAGTTTTTGTGACTCCAGTCACTGAAGGCTCTTATCAGATCTCTGTATTCAGCTTCTTGTCCATTTCTGATACATGCCATGATAGCTGTGTCATCTGAGTATTTCTGGATGTGGCAGGACTCAGTGCTGTATTTGAAGTCTGATGGATACAGTTAAGACTCTTACCTAAACTGTCATTGTCCAGTCAAATTGTATAACATATATTCATTAAACCTTATGCATTAAGTATTGTAATATTTGAAATGTTATTATTTTTGTTCAATTAAACATTTATTTATTCCCACTTACATGTGTTTTAATGTTTTTTATCCTGTTTATTCAGCACACAGCAGACCTTGTCTTTGAATCCCCCTCCTCTCATTATTTCTACTGTGTAATGCTTCATCTCTTTCTCCTTTCTCATACGTCAGATGAGAGAAGAGGAGGTGAATCAGATGCGTCAGGAGTTGGCAAAGCAAACAAAAATGAGAGAAGTTATTCAGAAGAAGTTCCACCAAATGGAGGATCAAAAAGCTGATGTGGACGTGCAGAGAGAGACCCTGAAAGCTCAGATCACTGGTCTGGAGAAAGGTAAAGGAGCTCCTCTCTTCTGTGTGTTCGTCTCCTTCACTGCTGCTCTGTCTCTGATCATATGAGCCCAGTGTAAACCTGTGGCAGATTTGAGCACCAGAAACATGTGTGCCAGAAGACGGAGCAGAGAAGTGTGTCTGCACCAAATGCAATCCAAATACTTACAACCAACGCTTAGTTTAACCATTTATGGATATACTAATGGTCAAATATAACAGTAATGTGAAATAATAGGAGCATTTATGTCGGATACACAGCTCTGAAAATTCTGTATTCAAAGTTGCTCTAGAAGACCATCATTTTAAAGAGGTCTGTGGTTTTAATTGGATGAAAGCATAGGAGAATAATTTAAAAGAATATTTTTTAAATATTTTTAAAAATTATTTTCTGTATTTTTGCACCATGGGTTTAAGAGAACCGTCTTTCTTGATTTCTGTGTTTGTACTCATATACTGCAGTAATTAATGTTAAAAAATCTTAAAATAAAGAGTCCTTTTCTTTACTTAGTAATCACAGTTTTCTGTGATTACATTTATAAATCAAGTTATAGCTGTTACGGCTGTCAAACTATTTCTTATTTGAATTCTGGTTAATCTTACTTTTAATTGCACTGATAAAATTCCATTATTTAGCATTTTAACAGATTATAAGTTCATATTGATGAAGTAAAGCAAGTCTTACTTGTTTGGCCTGGCTCTTTCTTTCATAGATGTTGGCATATAAAATAAATTTGGCTCACAAAACTGAATATTATAATATTCATACAGTATGTAGGCTTAAAGTAAATAACTCATCTGAGCACTAAAACAAATCATCTGTTCAGCCGCCGCAGCAGCAGCTGCAGCAGGACGGGGGGAGGACACAGACACATGTCCAGGTCGAGCTGCGTGAGAAATAAGAGGAAGAGGCAGAAAGAAAGGGAGGGAGACGAATTACATATCTTGTTCACTTCATCATGTGTGTTTATTTACTAGATATTTAATTTAATTTAATGTGGTTTCAGCTGTGTTAATTCGGTCAGGTTGAGTGTCCAAACGCGTGCCAAACGCGCTGATCAAATCAGATATAGATCAGAATATATCTATATAGATCTAAATGTATGTGCTGACTCAGATTAATAGTTGTTGTTGATTATCTATTGCACTGAAATGTGCCTGACACTGTGGAAACCTGCTGGTGAGGCATCGGTGACGTATGCCGATACGCCGCCGGTCTACCAAAATACCACTAGACCAGCTGTGTTTTGCCTGCACTGAGAGCTGACCAGGTTTAAATCAGTGAGCATTCAGTGCACTTTACACGCCACTGGCGGGCACAAAAATGTCACTGTGCCCGCTGATTCTGTCGACACCTCCCCCCGCCACGCCACCACGCCCAGCTTGGCGGATCTCGGTTCGCCTCTGTGCGCCTCAGTCCATGAAAATACCAAACTGGCTTTACGCCGGGCTCCGCCAGATGAAAATACAGCTGCGCGGGGTCCGCCACCCTCTGCCGCCTCACCGGCATACACAAAAATAGAGCCCTCAGTCACAACACAGGTCACAGAGTACATCTGTCAGACCTGAGTCTTACACAGTGCCAATGGCATGAATAAAGTGGAGAAAAAAGCCATATACTTTAAAAACAAAAGCAGAGATGTGATGGGATAACAATTATGGTGTCACTGCTGACAGCCCAAATAAGTATGACTATATGAACTGCTTATACCGTGAACACAAAGGGTTCCTCTCCTCTCTCTTTGCAGATCTTGAATCTTCCAAAAAACAGGCTGAAGTTGACAGAAAGGCCATCGAAGAGCTAATCCGAGAGAAAGACATCATAAATAAGGTGTGTGTTCAAGTGTCTCCAGATTCAAAATGAAGGAAGTTTTTAATTTATCTAAAAATTTAATGTAAAAACTGATCTTTGCCACAGACTTCATCAGCTTTAATGGGGCGCTCATACCAAGCGCGAGTAAAATCATGTACTTGCTTAATTTGCACGAATCAAATATAAATGAATAGTATTTACTCACCTCATTCGTGCATCAATGGTAATTTCAACTGTAATCCCTGCCAATTCAACTGGTGGGATCAAGTGATAGACAAAGGTTTTTTACAATTTACCAGATTATCCAACCTCCTCACTTACTTGCCCCCAGGCCAGCTCCTTTATATTCCGGTTTTGGTAATTGAAAGAATAGGTATCATATAATTCGGGGCACCCACACATCAACACGATCAGTTTGTCCTCCATTAGATACCAGTGAACAACTGTCCATATCAATGCGTCACCCGGCAACGTGAGTATCTGCTCAAGTTGAAACATTTTCAGCTCCCGCCCGATATGCGTCATTCGCGCCGCCAGAGTAGCAGGAGCATCTAATTGCTTCTTTGCATTGAGTTAACAATTAATTCATTCACACAAATGATTTTACTCATGCTTGGTGTGTGGAGACAGTCAGACAGAGAGATGAGGCATTTGGGATTTTAAGATGCAAATTATTTGACATATTCGAACAGATTCACATTGAAATAAATTGTCAGTAATTTTGTCAGTCAGGTGTTCTGTTCCATTTTGCTGTTTTGTTAAAAGCTGCTAAAGTGGCACTGACTTAATTGCAACAGAGTGTTTCAATATTGTATGAGTTCTTCCGGTTTACAGCAGGACAGCATCCCCTCTGATTTTCACCTACCAACAACCCATTCATTGGTGTGTCCACGTGAGAACTGGTGACACAGATCATCGACAAAAATGCTTTTGTTTGTACCACCTCGACAGAACATAATCAAAGCTTCTCAGTCGACTGAGAAACAGCAGAACCTGGTGAAGCTCCTGGAGCAGGACAAGAAGACCCTTGAACGTGAGATCAACGGGTACCGACAGGAAGTACAGAAGCAACGCAAGATCATCCAACAGCTGGAAAAAGAGCGGGACCGGTACATCAACGAAACCAGCAGCCTCATGCAGAAGGCAGGTCTCACCAGAGGCTTTTTTTCAGTCATGTCCTATTCTTTTATCAAAAAACCTGCTACCACCTTTGACTTCTCTGAGGGTTGGTGTTTTTTCTTCCCCAGGTGCAGCAAAAGATGAGCGATGTTGAAGTAAAAGAAAGCGAGATATTTGATTGGAGGAAGAAGGTCACTGAGGCAGAGTGTAAACTCAAACAGCAGGAGAACCTGCTGGAGAGCGTTGTGTCTGAGAGGAACCTCTACAGCAAAAACCTCATTGAAGCTCAGGTATTATTCAAGCCCCACCTTTTATATGAAACTTTTCGGGCTGTGTCTTACTTTATATCGAGAGTAATATTGCCAAGTGAAGCTGTTCAGGCAGAAGCTGAATAATGCTTTAAGGAGGGTTTTCTCTGCACCACTATGAGATAAATGAGGACTTTATTGAGCTTTGGATCATGCAAAGCTACTCAAAATGTGTCCCAGACAGACATAATAGAAGGTTTGGGGCGCATGATGGGTGTCCTTTGATTTCCAAACAATTACTGAACAAAGGCCTGTCAGAAAGTCACAACCATTTCAGATGTTGCTGATATGCTAATATTACATACTTTATCCTTTACTGTTAAAAGCGTCTGTGAGGAACCTAGGTTTTTTGTCAGTGCTCCCTTTGGATGAGTCAGTCTTTGCTTAATTTGTCCATACATCTTGCTGACTTTTGTATGATTTTTTTTTTTTTTTGAGTATTTAATGTGGAGAAATCAAAAACAGGGCTTTTTCTTCAGCTGCTTCCTTGACACCCACCCTCCTTTAACTGATTTCAGGCCTTAGAAACCAAGGCATAACAATTGTACATCTTGTTACTGATGGTCTTGTCTGCTTCGCATACCATAAAAAAATGCATCAGTATAAATTTAAGTCTCTTTCATTCACATAAAAAATCTCCTCACAGGAGCTTTGATTTAAAATGTAGTAGCATTTATATTATTTCTCCATGTTTAAAATATGTTTTGGCAATTTTAGATGCAATACATCAGCTTGAACTTGACCACATGTCAAAACAGCTGGAGCATTGAGGAAATGTTAACAGAAGAGTCAGTTTACAAATGAGCTTTGTGGTGCAGAAGAAAGTGCTGGAAAGATCCTCATTGGAGTGTGCACTTTTATCAAGATGAGTCTCAAAATAATTGATTTAGAAAGCTGTAGTCGAGCCTGCATGCCGTCTCTTTGAACAGTTTCTCTTTAAAGGGTTTAGCTGACCGTCTTTCATGGAGGCTTATACAATGATTGATGACATTTAGTTTATACAACACGATTGTAGGAGCTAAGTCTATACTTCAAACTACTAAGATGCTTCAACCCAGAGTCACCTGGTTGTCGTGCTATGCTACTGTTTCATACACTACTATTAGTCTTTGATTATCAATAAGAGTCCGGACGCTGTTCCTCTGATGCGGCAAAAAAAAAAATTGTTGTGATGAACATTACCAAAATCCATTTGCAATTCCCATTGAACAACACTGAGTAAACAAAGAAAAACACTGGCATTTAGTGCCCATCGGTCAAAAATCTTTTGCCCTTCTGGGTCATTCGACTGCCAACAACAGTAACGTAGCTAGGTTTATACGTGAGCCACAGCACAGTGACACATTATGCACACAAAGTGAACTGCACATAAACAAATGTGGCTCCTACAACAACTTCGGAGATGCTGAAACAGAGTAGTGGATGAGAAGCAGGGGCTGCCAAGGCCTTAGTACACTGGGTGTGCACTTCGACCATCCCTCCTTTTGGTCCTTATGATCCTTTTGACTACATTTGCTCTGTTCTTTAATGTCTGTCTAAATAACTCTGTCTGTGTCTTTCTCTGCCTCAGGAAGAGATTGCAGAGATGAAGAGGAAGATTAGGACGATGACCAACCAGGTCACCAGACTGAGAGATGAGATCAGTGGGAAGGAGCTAGCCCTCGCCAAAGATCAGCAGGAACACAAGCGATTAGAGAAGGACAATGAGGCACTGAAGGTACTGTACTATTACAGGATAAATTAAGTTACAACATAAATGTGAGAAATGATGATCAGATGATTGGGATAAGTAATGTTAGATGAATGAAAGATTCTGAGTCAGGCTCTGACTATTGAAGGTAATAAGAGTGAGTGAATATGCTCTAAAAGATTAACCTACATTAACTGTGCTGCAGAGATACATTTGGATTTAGGATTTCTCCAATTCATGATTGTTTGAATCATGAACACATGAGACAGCATCAGCCCTGTTCAGAGCTCTGGAGGCTTGCATACATAAGTGAGGAAGGTCCTTGGACAGCAGGGTCCAGGAAGGTCTGGGCTACCAGTGGTTTGAGAGGTTCAGCTCAGCAGAGGACTGAACTCAGACAAAAGATGGTCCAGGAGTCACAGTACAGTGTAACTGTACTTGTCCCTGTCCCTGCTGTATTCAGAGGGGACATGAAACTTTAGACATGACCTACCTGTGAATTGCTTTTATTATGCTCAAAAATGTTATTTTATTTTTTTGGGGTCTCAAAGGGTCTTGCAATGTCTTAAATTTGACTTCAAACAGTGAATAGGGACTCTGTTCAATGTCTGTGTGTTTTCTTGTGTGTCCTGCTGCAGGCGGAGCTGCAGACGATGAAGCTTCAGATTGAAGAAACAAAGCAGCAGGTGGACAGTCAGAAGGCAGAGCAGCAAAAACTGCAGAAGATTATAGCAGACACAGACAGTGAACAGATTCAGCAGAGGAAGCAACTGGGACAGGTAAGGGAGGAGAAGAAGGATGAATACGGGTTAATGTTTTTAATGTTAAAAAAGACTTAAAGGGATATTCCAACATAAATTTGAGTTATGGTCAAACACACAGTAACACAGAGTTAGACACCCCTCGAGAGATGAATGTTGCTGACTGCTTGCTTCTCTAGTTATACCAACTTTAGTAACGACCACATGATAGCAATACACAGTGGTCTAACTCGGGGGGGGGTCTAACTCGGTGTTACGGTGTGTTTGACCATAACTTACTCTTAGTCCAGAATATCCCTTTAAGGTTGATCATTTGTTGGTGAATCTTCTCTGAAGGTGATCAGAGAGCGGGATAGTCTGGGCAAACAGCTGCTCCGCCACAACGATGAGCGTGCTCTGCTCTACGAGAAAATCAGGATCCAGCAATCCATCCTGAGTAAAGGAGACTACCACTACAGCCAGAAGATAGAGGACATCCGCCTGCTCAAGATTGAAATCAATAAGCTCCAGCGTAAGAAGAGCATCCTGGACAAGACTGTACCCAACACGGAGGACCTGAGGTAACCTAGGCAGATGGTTTTACCCACATACCCACAAACCAAGTCTATTTTTTGAATCACTGATCGTACAAAGTGAGTAACTCCTGTGGCTAAGACTCTGGAGTAAAAAGATAATGACCACATTCAGTCACCAAAAGAGAGATGAACTGGTACTACTGACGAGACAAGAAAAGACAGGAGTGAGGTGGAGAACGGGATGTCCCTCGTTTTGTTTTAAATATCCTCCCAGTAATTTACAGTTTAGATCTATATTGAGAAATGTTTAAATGATGGATGGATTAACTTTATATAAAACTGTTGAACTGTGTTGTTGCAGGCGGGAGCTGCGCCACCTGCAGAGGGAGCTGCTGAGAGAGAGGACCAGGAACAGCTTGCTGGAGGATCAGCTGAAGCCCATCAACATCCACAGATGGAGACGACTGGAGGTGAACAACTTACTCAGACAAATCTGAGGAGTAGCTTGATGACATTACAGCCTCAGCCTGCTGTACTTTAGATTTTCTGCCTCACTCAGTACATTTACATCCACAGTTCAGCTACAACTAAAGTTCGATCAGATGATTTAACTGTACTCTTCCCAGTTTACATGCACTGTACAAGAATCAAATGATTGACAGAAGCATGTCTGCCTCTGCTATAGGAGGAGGTCACATGACCCTTTCAGCTTGTTACTATTGGGTCATCTCCTGGTGTATGTGCTACTTATCAAAATGATTGACTAAACCTGAGAAACAACATAAGAACATACTGAGTGTTTCACTTTTAAGACAGTTTAAATCCTGAACCGTGAATTTATGAAAAAAGTTTTTTATGTCTCTGTGAAGGGCAGCGACCCCAGCAAATATGAACTCATCCAGAAGATTCAGTCCTTACGAAAACGACTCATAGCCAAGACCCAGGAGCTGGAGAAGCAGGAGCTTCTTTTACAGGTAGAGACTCTTTCCTGTTAATGTGGTCACTCCAAGGTGATGAGAGATTTTACATTTTCATTAGTTTTTATTTCTATTTCATCTTCACTTTATGATTGCTGTAGGATGTGCCCTCACTCTGCGGCCCTCCGTAGAAAACCGAAATATGTTAGTTTTCTGTCTCTCCACATGGACTGCAGTGAGGTGTCTCATGATATTTACAACCCTTTTGATGTCATTGTTTGACTTGTTTTGTTCAGTCCATGTTATTCTGGTTTCTTTGTTTTCTATATCTGAAGACTACTGTCTCATGAGCATCACCATGGGCCAAATTCACAAAGTTGTCCAGTCTCAAGAGTACTGCTGCTGATAAAAGTCATGTTTTCAAAACATGATATTTTCTAAGAAGAAATAGTAACTAGTAATTTTCATATGAATTTCTCAAATTTCATGAATGTCAGTCTCTCCTCTGTCCGTCTCTCTCTTTCTCCATCTCCCTCTCTAAATCCAGCTCAGGCTCAGCAGATGACTGTCTTAGATGAGTCTGGTTCTGCTCAAGGTTACTGCCTTTTAAAGAAAGTTCTTCCTCTCCACAGTGACTTAATAAATGCTGTAAAGTGTTTCACTTATGTAGTTGAAGATGAGGACAGGAGTGGATCTGATCCATAGACTGTATATAGAGTGGACGCCATCTGCCTCCTCGCTGGGTGAAGCCACCGCAAGAACAGCACCCTCTGGTGACGGGCTGAAGTATAGACATACTAATAGACATACTAATCTGCCTAAAAACAGAAGGTATCTAACTAAGAATTTATCAAACTTAGTCTCCATCCCCCGTCAGCCCATCATGAAAACCAGTACAGAAAATTTCTCTAGCACACTACACTCAGCTCTTTTAAATGTCAGCTCTTTAGCTGGAAAATCATTCTTAATCAACGATCTTATCATCAAGCACAATCTCAACTTAATGTTTTTAACTGAAACCTGGTTAGAACAAGATAACAGTGCAACTGTACTTATTGAGTCAGCCCCCCCTAACTTCAGCTTTATGAGTGAAACGAGGAAGCATAGAAAAGGAGGTGGAGTAGCTATTCTATTCAAGGACTCAATGCAATGTAAACAGATGTACTACGGGAATTTTCCTTCCTTTGAATATGTGGCCTTCCAGTTGAACTCTGCTACTAGAGCAATATTCCTTAACATCTACAGACCTCCTAAATACTGTGTGAATTTCTTTGATGACTTTACTGAATTGCTGTCTATAATCTGTATTGACTTTGACTGTGTAGTGATTGTTGGTGATTTTAACATTCACGTTGACAACCCCCAGGACAGAGGCACCAAAGAATTGTGCTGTCTCCTTGATAACTATGGTTTGACCCAACATGTAACAGAGCCCACACACAATAGAGGTCACACTCTAGACCTAATTATTTCCAAGGGCCTGAACATACCCAAAATTATGGTTACTGATGTTGCTATTTCTGATCACTCCTGTGTGTTTTTTGAGAGTACTATCTCTATGTTATTCACCACTGCTCAGACAGAGGTAATCACCAAGCGGCTTATCACTGACTACACCAGTGAAATATTTAATCAGGCTTTGACTCCTCTCCCAGCTCTCTCACGGCTCTCGGTCAATGAGCTTGTAGAAGACCTTTGCTCTAGAATCACAAACGTGATGGATGCCATTGCGCCCACCAAGGTGAAAATAGTCTCTGGCAAGAAAAGATCTCCATGGAGGAATGCCGCGCTGGTCAGAGCTGAAAAAAGAGAGTGTCGGAAAGCCGAACGCAGATGGCGAAAGACAAGCCTTCAGGTTCACTATCAGATCTATAAAGAGAGACTTCGTATCTTTAACCTAGAACTAAGAAATGCTAGACGATCCTTCTTCTCAGACATCATCACCAAAAACAAAAATAATGCACGCGCCCTATTTACCACAGTCGACAGGCTAACAAACCCTCCAGTATCAGTAGCCTCTGAATTTCTGTCTGCCAAGGCTTGTAATGAATTTGCCTCCTTCTTCAATAACAAAATCCAGAAAATTAGACAAACAGTCAGTAGCTCAATATCCGGTACAGGATATGTGTTGTCCATGTGTACTAACCCCAGTAGCATGACACAATTCAACCTGATCAACATTAAAACCCTGGAGGACATCATACTAAATCTGAACTCCTCCACCTGCTGCCTTGATATTCTGCCAACAGGTTTCTTTAAAACAGTTTCTAATTGCATGGCCTCAGATCTTCTACAGATTGTCAACATGTCACTTCTGTCAGGTGTCTTTCCACAGGCCCTGAAAACTGCTGTCATAAAGCCTCTCCTAAAAAAAAGCAACCTAGACAACTCAGTAATGAACAATTATAGGCCTATATCGAACCTCCCGTTTTTAAGCAAAATCATTGAAAAAGCAGCCTTCCAACAGCTTCACAACTTCTTAGTCCTAAACAATTGTTTTGACGTTTTCCAGTCAGGGTTTCGACCGCATCACAGCACTGAGACTGCTCTTATCAAAGTCTTTAACGACATCCACTTAAACTCAGACAATGGCAAAATTTCAGTCCTAGTATTGCTCGATCTCAGTGCCGCTTTCGACACGGTTGACCACAGCATCCTACTCGATCGACTGGAAAACTGGGTGGGACTTTCTGGAACAGTACTAAACTGGTTTGCATCCTACTTAAAGGATAGAGACTACTTTGTGTCTCTAGGTAATTACACATCAGAGCGAACAAAAATGACATGTGGGGTTCCCCAAGGCTCCATTCTGGGGCCACTCCTGTTCAACATTTACATGCTCCCTCTAACTCAAATCATAGCAAACAACAAAATATCTTACCATAATTATGCAGACGACACACAGATTTATATAACCATGTCGCCAGGCGACTACAATCCAATACAAACACTGAGTCAGTGTATTGAACAAATCAACGATTGGATGTGTCAGAATTTTCTTCAACTAAACAAAGATAAAACTGAAGTGATTGTATTTGGAGCAGAAGACGAGCGATTAAAAGTCTGTGCTCAGCTTCAATCGATAATGTTAAAAAGCACAAACCAAGCCAGAAACCTTGGTGTTGTCATGGACTCAGACCTGAATCTTAACAGCCACATAAAGACAATTACAAAGTCAGCCTACTATCACCTGAAGAATATATCAAGGGTCAAAGGACTGATGACCCAGCAGGATTTGGAAAAGCTTGTCGATGCATTTATCTTCAGCAGACTTGACTACTGTAACAGTGTCTTCACAGGTCTCCCCAAAAAATCCATCAGACAGCTCCAACTGATTCAGAATGCTGCTGCTCGAGTCCTCACTAAGACCAAGAAAGTAGATCATATCACCCCAGTTCTCAGATCTTTACACTGGCTTCCCGTCTGTCAAAGAATTGATTTTAAGATACTATTGCTGGTTTATAAAGCACTGAATGGATCAGGACCAAAATACATTTCTGATATGCTGATACGTTACGAACCATCCAGACCGCTCAGATTATCAGGAGCAGGTCTGCTCTCTGTCCCCAGAGTCAGAACTAAACGTGGAGAAGCAGCTTTTAGTTTTTATGCTCCTCATATCTGGAACAAACTCCCTGAAAACTGTAGGTCTGCTGAAACTCTCAGCTCTTTTAAATCACAGCTGAAAACGCATATGTTTGCTGTGGCCTATCATTAAATCAAACCTGAGGCCTTTAATCAACATCTTCATCATCTGCCTGTCTTGATCTTTTTTTTTTTTCTATCTCTCCAATCTTATTTTAGCTTTGAATGTAACTTTTAATCTGTTAAATGTCTTTTACGCTGTTTTTACTTTTTAAATTGTGTTGAATGTTTTGCCTGCTTGTTTCATGTAAAGCACCTTGAATTGCCCTGCTGCTGAAATGTGCTATACAAATAAACTTGACTTGACTTGACTTGACTTGACTATAAGTCATAAATCCCACCTCCTTCAGCAATCCCATATGGAGCTGTGGACAAACTTACGAAATGAATTACACAGAATAAAGATGTCTCTCTCCCCAGCTTGCAATGTTGACATGTAGTTTCTGTGAGACTGGTTTGTGCTAGCAAAAACAAAAAATGTTTTCTGTTTTGTTCTCCTTTTCTTTTTACTCGGTATGTTAGATATCTTTTGTTTTTTACTTGTTTTGGTTCTTTTATCTTTCTGACTGGTTGACTGATCTACTGTATTTTCTGTCCTTTTTGTTCCCCATGAAGGAGAAGGAGAAGCTGTTCGTGGAGCTGAAGCAGATTCTGGCTCGTCAGCCGGGTCCAGAGGCAGTAGAGCAGCTCCAGCAGTGTCAGTGGACCCTCAGAGAGAGAACTGCAAAACTCAAGGTCAACACACACACACCACTTTATCCTCTATTTATCTTTGATTTCTTTATCTCACTCCTCTTAGATCACGCTGTACCCTGCTGTCTGTCAACCACAGCCTGTTTTTATTACAGCCTCTGTCTTGTAAAAACATCACTGTGTTTCGAAGGACTTTGCTGTCCTTAGGTTCTGACTTTATTCTCACAAACTTAAAGAAACCCAATTTTCCCACCTGTTTAGACTTTTCAGTCATGTTGTTTCTCAGGTAAAATAAAGTCTGATGTCTCCTGTTGACTCCACAGGCTCTGATAGCCGAGGTGACGATGCTCGACTCCAAGATGAACCAGTACAAGAGTGAGAATCAGAGTTTAGCTGGTGAGCTTGCAAACATCAAGAAGAAATACCTGAGTCAGAAGAAGCTTTACAAGTGAGCCTCGTCATTGTTTTACATTCAGTCAAAAATTTCACACTTCAATTTATCCAAGAATCCTGAATGTTATTTGTTGATGTTGTGGTGTGCTCTGTGTGTCTCTACAGTGAGCAGAGAACAAAGATGAAGGTGGAGACGCTGGAGCCTCTTCCTCAGCTGAGCAGCAAACCTCATTTTACAGGAGGAGGCTTCAGGATTGACAACCCTGTGAGGAGACAGTAGTTGTTAGTGGATTTCTGACAACACTGTAAACACGGTTTGGTTATCAAAGTCAACAGAAATATCTACAACTGTGTAACCTAAACCAAAACACTTTCTTTTGAATTATGAAAAAGTTATCTTTTAACATGGCTGTAAACTTAGCTCATTAAGCAGCCTGAGGAGTTATCAACAGTTCCATTTCTACTTATTCAATCATATTTTAATTCAGACAGTTGAGCATCAACCTCCAGTAGCAGTTCCGAAACTTTGTGTCCCCAGCTTTCAACAAACTGCAAGAGTTTTTTCTACTTTTATTTGACTTTTACTTGAGAAAACTTGATGAATACCTCCAGCAGAGATCGTTTTACAAAAGCTGCATCAGTAAAACATAGAGCATACATTACTTTATCAAAAGTCGCATTCTTGCATTCCCTCAAAGTCAAAGCTCCCGTGTGAGTGTTCTCTCCATCACACGTAGAAAAAGGTTCATGTTCTCACACACAGCTTAGGGGTCCTTTTTAAATTATTTTGAGTGTGAGAAACTGTTATAAAAAGGAAGTTTGACATGTCAGCCAGGTCCATTAAGGTAGGAAATCTGTAATTTGCTGTGTAAATAGTAACATCCCTAGCAGCAGGCAAATTGCATCAGATTTAAAGAGAGAAGGAAAGCAAACACACTGATTGGTCTCATGTAACACCCAAAAAAACACCTTTGAAAAATCTATGTGCTTCATACAACCTCCACCTCATATAGTGCTTGAATCGTGTGCTGCTTTAATAGGAAAATACGGTTGGACATGCCCTGATTTACTCTGCACAATATACTGCAACAATAAAAATGTATGAGTTTGGCCTAGCCCAGATCTTTAATCAAAGGGAGAGAAAAGGAGACATGCTTGGTTCAATCCATAGACTGTATATAGCATGGACAGCGTCTGCCTCCTTACTTGGAGATGCCACTGCGAGAACAGCACCCTTCGGTGATGGAGTGCAGTATAGGTCATAAATCCCACCTCCTCTAGCAATCCCTATGGAGATGTGGACAAACTTTAGAAATTTATTACACAGAATGTTATTTTTTCTCCCCCCTGATGTTGACATGTAGTTACTGTCAGACTGGTTTGTGCTCAAGTCCTCTTTTTTCTGTGCAGCTCCATTTTCAAAAGTTATTTGGGGGTTCATGTTTTCTATGACTGACACTTGATACAGCCTATGGGCATACGAAGATTGTGTAGCTCACCCGGGGGGATACGCTGTTTGAGCCGAGCATCATCACGGCGACTATCAGTGACTCTCCTGCTGAATGCGTACAATGCTACTGCGCAAGTGGTGGTTCCAGGAAGTGGCGAAAATCCACTACTGAGAGCAATTCAGCTTCAAATTCATAGAATGACGGAAGGCAGAGCCAAGTTGTCCATAGTATATAAAGTCTATGATTCAATCCTCTGACTCTCACAATTTTATTCAGGATGACAGAGTATATATACAGTGTGACAAACAAGATTTTTGCTGTGTTCGCACAAAGACGTGATTCAATCAACATAAGATCTATCCGTGAACAGACACTCAAGATAAACCTTGAGACCCTACTCCTCAAATTAAGTCTGTTCTAAGCACAAAACATATTCAATAATGATTACATCAAGTGTTTAACATACATTAATTGCGCATAAATATGATTTCTTTATACCATATACTCCAGGTCCTGCATTTTAGATTATCTTAAAGGCCGATACTAAACATTCTGTTGGGTTTGGAGGCTCAGAAATGATTTATCTGGGAGGAGGGGTCATGACAGAAAAACATCAGGGACTGCTGACTGACAGTACCGTAAGATATTTCTGTTTTCTTGTTAAGACCATGATAACATGCTGCTCTGCTGATGAATAAACTCTTTCACTTCACTGTGTGTGTTTGTTTTCTTGATCTATATTTTGACTGAAGTGAATGAATGTATTCTGTTCAAGTGTTCATACAAAAAATGACTTTAAATATGGCCTATTTATCCCCTTTATTAGAAGAGATTTAATTCTTTTAACAACTAAAGTTTTAGATTTGGACGTTTGCTCTTTTGTTAGTTGTGATAATGTCACATAAATCAGGTGTGGTCATTTATCACAGGATACACAGGAAGGATGAACAGTAACTTTCTCCAATTTCTATAAACAAACAGATTTTAAAATCCTCAAAATATTTTTCTTTTTTTATGCACTCTTTGTGTTAAGGTTTTTTCTTTCCATCTTACAACCTATACATAAATGATGCATAACCTTTAGTATGTTTCTTTGGCTGTTTTTCTACATGACGTCTCTTATGTTCACCACAATGTGTCAGCCAAGTAAAGACTGGTTAAACCGATATAATCAGGATTAAAAATGTTCATTTTTAAATCAATGTAAAGGAAGAAATTACAAGAATGTATCTAGCTTTTTTTTAACTATTAGTACAGCAGCATGTAACTGGTTTATTCATGTGGTCACTTGAATACAAAGCTACACTTTGTCTCCAGTTTTAATGCCGTTAACCAGCCTGTCACTCATTAAACAGAGAGAGAGAGCAGTTGGGGGCTTTAAACTCTTACTCAGACATTTGGTGAGTCGCCTCGACCTGAACTGTGGACTCTGAGGTAACACTGGTTTCCTACATTTTACAATAAATCTGATTACATTTGATGAATCTGGACGTCAGGGTTAGAATAATCCAAAATTCTGTTAGTTTAACTTTTTGTTAACTTGTGTTTTACTTGATTATTTCTTTACCACAGTGACACGGTAATCAATCTCCCATGTGTACTAATGAGTGATTTTGTGTGTTTCACTATTTAAGTCCCTTAATATTGTCCACAGAAGGTGAGGCTGTTTGTGTTTCCATTTATTTATTTGCAGTTAGATCCCTACTGTATGTTTTGTATGAAAAACTTTTTTCTCATGAGGTATTTAAATCTGTAGATTCTCAATATCGAAGGCAAAAGAGAAAATTTAAGTTTTGACTGTTTGTACTAAATTTGCGTATAATCTCAATGTGAAATGTGAGATGTAGATTTTAGTGTTAAACCTCCACTGAGGAACTCTGGTCTGTGTCTGGTGCCCTCTGTGGGTAAATCGGTCTGTGTCTGGTTTTGTTTCGTACATCTGTAATTAGTTTTTCTCAAGTTACATTTTTTCAATCAAACATCACTGCTCAATATTGAAACGTATTGTGTAATGTTTAATACAAACATTTAAAGTTAAAAGTGTTTATTAAATGTAAATCCTAGTGTTGAAAACTTGATATTAACTGTAAATGTTGTGTTTGAATCTTATTGTGAAGGTTTATTTTTAATTTTAATCTGACATCTGAAGCACTCAAGACTCAACATTACACATCAAAAAGTATATGTTCTAGATTAAGATCAAATATAACTTAAAGTTGAAATAATTCTTACTATTTAGAATTTGCGTTTAACTTCAACTTTAGCTTTTAGATGTTACATTCAATGTCAAGATTTTATTGATAGAGACAACATTTATTATTCACACGTCACATTTTACTTTTACATTTGGTATTTCACTGAAAGAAACATAATGATTTAAAATATAACAGGCTTTTAATATTCTCATTTTGCACTTAACGTTTAGATTTGCCAAATTCGTATCTTTGGTTGAAACAGTTGACAGTCCAGAAACTAGACTGCTCACCAGATGAACTTTGTATCCCATTAGATTGTTTTAATGAGTAATTTAATAACCTATCAGCCTGAAACACAAACTTGCCAAATCCGTTTCTGTCTGTAGGGGAGAGTGGGGTAAGTTGAGCCAAAGGGTAAGTTGAGCCACCCCCTGTTGCTCAGAAATGCTAAAAGAAATTGATCATGTGACCAAATATTTAGGAGATGGGCATCAATACATGGAAGGTTAGAAGCACATAGGTGAAGGGGTTAGACATTTATTTCCAAAAAAAAAATTTTTCTCTTGAAAGTGAATTTAGTCAGTCATAAGGTTTATTAGAATTGTATTCAGATGAAAAAAGATCATTTTAAATTCGTTTTATACATCAATTGTGGTATCTATGAGCTACAACATGAGGTCAAAAACCTAGCATAAAAGTCCACCATTTTAGCTTAGAGGACTAATAAAGTCATCATAGTAGTTCTGGGGTAATTTGAGCCATTTGGCCAGGGGTAAGTTGAGCCAGTGTGTGTGTGTGTGTGTAGTAGGGATATGGCTCAGCTTACCCCACTCCTATGGTCAACCATAGGAGACCACTTTTTTGGCATGCTATAAGACAGTTATGTTTACACTCATTCTGTTGGTTTGCAGGGATGAACAACATCTTGAAATATATGCAGATACACTAGTTAGAGACCAAACTATGATTGCCTTGATGTAGTGATCCGAAATATGAAAAATAGCTCGTCTTACCCCACTCCCCCCTCTATAATCCATTAAAAAATGGAACATGTTGGGGGGTAGTTTTAATTAAAAAAGAAAAAGGAAAAAAAAAATCTTTAAAATGAAGGATAGTCTTTATTTATATGTAAATGAACCCTCAGACACAAAGACAGTCCACATGAACCTTCTTCTCTAATATCAGATCTACACTCCAGCTGCAGCCCTGAAGTCGTAGTTCCCCTCCATCATGGTGCAGAAAGTGTTAGTGATCGGTGCAGGTATTTCTGGTCTGACCAGCATCAAGGCCTGCCTGGAGGAAGGTCTGGAGCCCACTTGCTTCGAAAGCAGCCATGACCTCGGAGGTCTGTGGAGGTTCAAGGTGAGGGACCATGCTTTTTAATCATGACGCTCCTTTTGTCTAGGCAGGGGGTCAAACCCTCTCTATGAAAGGAGAAATTTTCGCTGCTGCTCTTCCAAAAAAAGAGTGCCTTAACCTTAGAAACATTCACCAAACCCTCCCAGTGACAAGTAGAATAATAAATATCCCGTCTTGTGAATCTCCAGGAGAAGCCCGAACCTGGACGAGCAAACATCTACAATTCAGTGGTCATGAACAGCTCCAAAGAGATGACGGCTTTCAGTGACTTTCCTCCTCCAGCTGAGCTCCCAAACAACATGCACCACTCTGACGTGCTGCAGTACCTGCGGCTCTACACTCAGACCTTCAACCTTCTGCCTCACATACGCTTTCAGGTAAGTCACCTTTACTGAGCTTGTGTGCAAAAAAGAAAATGTAAATGATCCTTCGCCACAGTAGTTAAAGAGCTTACTCATAAATTCTGTTGAACTGCTTGAACTCAGTGCTTTGCGGGGATGGTGGTCTCAGTCGTTTGATGTGCGCTGGTATATAAAGATTGAAAATATCTCTACACTTGATTTTCCCTAAAGTAGACATTGATGATTTTTATTGCCAAGGCAATAAAGACAGCTAACTGTAGGCAAATAATGAGGGGGCAAGACCTCCAAAATAGGTATCAAGAGGATTTGCTGGGTTTGAAACAATCTTAGTCGCCAAAACCCATCTGCACTCCTTCCTCAGCCTCACTAGAGTTTTCCCTTGGTATGCAATAATGTCCCCCTGTGAGACATAAGACATCGCCTGGATCCCTGTATACCTGTGTGTCTATACATGACAGTATGAATGAAAGACGCTCGTCTTTGTCCTGTCTGTTCTAGATGATGGTGGTCAGTGTGAGGCAGAGACCTGATTTTGCAACAACAGGCCAATGGGAGGTGGAGGCAGAGAGTGGACAGGGTCAGAGGGAGACCCATGTTTTTGATGCAGTCATAGTTTGTACTGGACATTACACCTATCCTCACCTGCCACTCAAAGACTTCCCAGGTGCCAAAACCAGCATATCCCTTACTTCACTGTTTTCTCTCTGTTAGAGTTTTTCCTATGTCTTTTCTAAAATCTGACTTTTCAGGTATTGAGAGCTTTGATGGCACGTATTTCCATAGCTGGGATTACCGTGGAGCTGAGGGTCTGCAGGGGAAGAGAGTGGTGGTGATCGGGATTGGAAACTCTGGAGGTGATATCGCTGTGGATATCAGCAGAGTAGCTGAAAAGGTAAAGCAGAGACATGCACGTGTTGTTGTGTTTAACAGGAGATTTTATTTTTACTGATTCTTGGCTTCCTTAAGTGTTAAAGCTGCATATATTCATCCCTTTTTGCAGGTGTGGCTCAGCAGTAGGAAAGGGACATGGGTTATCAGCCGGTTAGGACAAGGAGGGATCCCCTTTGACCTTATAGACTCTTCTCGGTTGGATATGATGCTGTACAGGCTCTTCCCCTCGTGGATCAACAAAATGTTGGAGAAGAAGTTAAATAAAGCATTTTGCCACCAACTGTACGGCCTGAAACCGAACTTTGGGTAAAGAGATACTCACCTGAATTTTAGGGGTCAACACAGCAGTGGATTCGCAAACAGACATGCCTTCGAGGGGCTAAGAGGGGAACAAATATTTAGAGAATAAGATTAAAAATGGATTAAAATTTACAGAGAAGTAAAATTAAAGGATGAGTGTTTCTAATCTTAGACATGGTTATATTTTATTGCATCTGTATGACAAGAATAAATATCCTCTTGAATAGAAATAGTTGTAACTTTAATCATAATTGTGCAGCCTGATCTTAACTCTACTCTGTTTGTTTCAGTTTCTTTGCAAAAATCCCCTTGATGAACGACGACCTGCCTGCACGGATAATCTCTGGTCGTGTTCAGGTGAAATCAAATGTAAAGGAGTTCAGAGGGTCCAGTGTGGTCTTTGTGGACGGCAGCATCTTGGACAAGGTGCGTATTTGTACTGTTCTAACAGACTGTAGATAAACTCATGTGTGTGTGTGTGTGTGTGTGTGTGGTTTTGTCCTTTAATACACAATGATATTGTTGCATGCAGTAAAGCATGTCTTATAATCGTATGTCTTATTTGTATGAACAGGTGGATGTAGTGGTGTTTGCGACAGGATATGACTACGGCTTCCCCTTCCTGCCCCCAGATCTGCAGGTTAAATGTGATCACAGGCTGCGTCTCTACAAACATGTGATACCAGCCTCGCTGACCCGGCCCACGCTGGCTGTGGTGGGCTTTATCAGTGGCTTGGGGGCCATTAGTCGCCTGGCTGAGATGCAAGCTCGCTGGGCTACAAGAGTGCTGAAAGGTACAGAACAACTCAGTAACCACTAGAAGTGTTCATTGTTTTGCAACAAAAGCTGACAATAGCAAAGCAATGCTAAAGAAATCCAGCCTTTCTTACATACAACAGAGTGTCAGGGCCACATTCAAAAATGAAAAAATTAAAGTGGTTGTTTGAAGTCATAGGGAAAAAAATAGGGTCTCTGTTGTGGTATTGGTCCTTTGCAATGTTCCACATAGTTTCAATAAGAGACAGGTCTGGACTGCAGGCAGGCCAGCCTAGTACTCGCTCAAAGCCATGCTGTTGGCAGCAGGTGTTACTCCTAAACCTGTCTGTACCTTTAAGCATTAATGGAGCCTTCTCAGATGTGGTTGTTAGCCATGGACACTAACACACCCCCAGACCATCACAGATGCTGGCTTTGAACTTTGACCCGAGGACAGTCTGGATGGTCCTTTTTCTTGTTTGTCCAAAGGACACCATGTCCATGATTTCCAAAAATTATCTGAAATGTGGACTCATCAGACCACAGCAGACTTTCTACTTTGGGTCAGCCCATCTCGGATGAGCTCAGGTCCAGAGAAGTCGGTTGTGTTTCTAACTGTTGTTGATATCTGCCTTTGTCTTTGCATGGTACAGTTTGAACTGCTGCCTGATGAGTCAGAGGTCATAGTCATTCAATGTTGGTTTTGGGCCTTGCAGCTTATGTGCTGAGATTTTCTGGACTCTCCTGAGTCTTTTGATTATTATAGTGACTGTAGATGATGAAATCCCTAATTCCTGCAGATGTATGTTGTGAAATGTACTTAAACTGTTGGACAATTTGCTCAAACAGTTGTTGACAAAGAGGTAAACCTGGCCCCATCCTCAATTGTGACAACTGAGTGTCTCAGGGGTGCTCCTTCTATACCCAATCATGACACTCACCTGTTTCTATGAATGAAGATTAACTTAATTACATAGCAGACTTGACCTCTGTCTGCAGACAACTGTAGCCTAGCTTGGGTGTTGTTTCTCTGGGTTGTTCAAATTATCTTTATCAGTTTAACACAAAATACAGTCATTACTTCAATCACAGATTTTTGGACACCTTGCACAAACATACGTTGAAACAAGTTATTAGAGTCCTCTGAATATGACTCCACCCTCTGCAGCAAAGATTTTCAAAAGACCAGCTCTTATTGTGATAGAAACAAGTTCTCATGAAATAAATAGAAGCCATGAAGTATCAAGCTGATCTAACAGTGTTTATTCAGAATTTTGTTGAAGTAAATCAGTTTCTTGTGCATTTTAAACTGACAGACTCTTTATATTTTGCAGGCTTAGTAACTCTCCCCTCAGAAGAGGCCATGATGAAGGACATTAAAAAGGACACAGATGCTATGAATGAATGGTAGGAAACAAACTGAGTAAGTGTGTCAGCTGTACAAGACTTGATTTTGAGCTGATGAGACTAAATAAGACAACTCAAAACAGAGATACGTCCTAAGAGAGCTCTTCCCAGACCTAGAACACATACTGGGACGCTGATATTTGATATGACACCATACAAGAGAGCGGCAGCAGCTCCCGACCATATCTTATGTTTAAGTTTCTTCAAAGAAAGAATAATTTACAACTTTCTATATCAGTTAGTCCATATTTTAAAAGTGCTAATTCAGGAAAAATGTCATCTCAAGATGACACAAACGAGCTGGTCTAGACTATACTCTTCATAATGACTGCAGACCAACGCAAAGATCAGATTAGATCAAGTCTTAACTGATAAAATCAGACCCACTCTGACCACATCTTAATCCAGCATAAGCAAAAAAAACTTTGCAGTATCAAGGAAATAACAGTAGTAAGAAAAATTGTTCCTTTAACAGGCAGAAGCATTCAGCAGAACCAGATTCAGGTTTACAGAAGAGGATCAGTGCCACCAAAAGAAATAACAAAAATCTAAATAAATATCGATTAAGGTGTTTTTTTTTTTTTCAACTCTAAATTCTTCCTGTGAGTTCTGGCTTTATTCTCAGAATTGTGACTTTTTTTCTTGGAATTCAGAGTTTAACGAAAATGCTCTGAATATAAGTCAGTATTTGAGACAAAAGCCAGCACTTTGACTGAAATTTTACTTCACAAATTTTAATTGACTTTAGTGAAGTAAAATAGAATCTCCATCTAGCAAACCACATCTGTCACATTTATCTCTAGATTCATGGAGAACATGGAGAGCCTTAAAAAAAAAAGAAGAAAGAAAAAACTTTTAAATAATTTACAACCATCTGGCACAAGCAAACTTCGCAATTCAAGTTTTAACTCGTCATTTGGGAAAAGATTACTTTGTGGTACTATACCTTTTTGGAATAAACAGTGTCCATAGCAGCTTTATCAAAACACTTTCCCTCTTTATGACACTGAACCTTCAGGCCAATCTATGTGCAGTTTCAAAATAAAATAAAAAGCAGACTGGACTTCAAATATTTTTGCTTAAAGAGGGAGATCAAACACTGTCCACCACTTTTTGTGACTATGTCAGCTGTTCATCAGTCTGTTTTTTCTTTCCCCAAAGTAAACCAAACAGAAATATGATTTATGATTACTTTAGCAGAAACGTGCTCTCCGCTGCCTTAGCTCTGACAAATAGATATACTGTCCTGGCAGCTTTCAGACAACTGTTTTGTGCAATCTAGGATAAATCAAGGCTTTGAAACCTCTTAAGTTGAGTGGCACTGGGGTTTGAAAAAGCATTTTTTGTCCGTTCAAGGGGGTAGCTGTGATTGCTCATTAAACTTCAATGTCCCACCATGGAACAGGAAGTCATTTTCACTCCTTCATACAATGTTCAGTCTGTTTAATAATTTATATACACGATCAAGGTCCATCCCCAAAACACAACTATGTGCCAATTTCTCCACTAAAGTCGTAGCACTACCTTGTGGAAATAAATTGTACTAACTTTTACTTACATTGTTCAATCTCTCTTCATCTTCTCACATTTCAAAGTGGTCCCAGTCTGGACTTATCTACAGTCACATTTTTGGCAAATTGTTCTGACTTAAAGCTCTACCCACTGGTAAAAACACGTTCAGCACTGTTCTGGTTGCTATGAATGAAACATGACAGTCTCAGTCTGAGGGCATCTACAAGAACATTTAGCTCATGATGATGAACCACTTACACCAGCACAGGCACATCCTGCAGCTTTCACTCCTCTGAATCTTTTCTTCATTTTTTAAATTGTGTTATTTGTTCCCCTCTGCAGGTTTTTGTGCTCAGGGTTGAACCCCCTCTATGTGGACGTGCTCTCTTACACAGACTGTCTAGCGGAGCAGGTGGGGGCTCGACCGAACATCCCTTGGCTCTTCCTGACAGACCCCAAACTGGCACTAAATGTTTTTCTGGGTCCTTATACTCCTTATCAATACCGTCTGACCGGACCAGGCAAGTGGGTTGGAGCCCGTCAGGCCATCCTTTCTCAGTGGGACCGAGTGCTTCAGCCTTTCAGGACCAGAGTGGTACCAGAACCAGAACCCAGATCTACTCATGGTCTAAGTATAATCGTGGTTCTCTCAGGTGCAGCCCTGCTGTGCTGCTTCTTCATCAGTAAACACAGCTCCTCCTCTGTCTTCCCCCTCAAATTTCCTTTCAAATTTTAGAATGAATGAGTTGGAAAAAACATCTAAAGTGGTCTGCACTCGTTCCGTATGTTAAAGTAACTGCAGGAACTATTCACAGGATTGCTTTTCCTCTGTTCACTTTTTATTCAGTCTATAATTTTGATGAGATCACATGGTGAAGACACAAGGGTGATTTTCTTTTTGTTTTATTTTTAGTGCTGTAACATCAGACAATGATGTACAGTAGTGAATAAATTTTGATTTATTCTGTATTATCATTTTGTCATCACACTTTTTTTTAACAGACCTTTTGTCCATTTCCTCTGTAATGTTAACTTTTTTTGCTTAATATGCAGTTCTCCTTTGTATTATTGTTGGTAGTCATTTCTGTTCATCTTTACCCTCCACACTTTTTTAAGAGTAAATGTTTAACCATCTCACCTTCACAAAGTTTTTTATTAAAGCACCCGATCATCTGAGTCTGATCAGGTGTTCTTTGTTAAACCTTAAGCCATTACAAAGGTTTTGTCTTTAGTTTCTTTTTTTCTATTATAAAATCCACCAAAACAGCTTTCAGCACTTTGATTTTCTGTATTGTATGGAACCACTGTGTCATTGCTTTGGATGCCAAACAGAGTTCACATTTTGACTTAAAAAAAAAAAAGTATTTATTTTTTCGACCACTGGGTGGTGCTAATACTTTTCTTGAAAGGTCAGTGATGAGGGAAGTCTGCCAGAGATCACCAGTTCAGTTTGAGGTTACAAATGGACTTTTATTTGCTAAAGGAGCAGCCTTAATGTTAAATGAAAATTGCATGGTTAAAACAGTTTTTTTTCAGGCTGTTGTTTAATATCATATGAATCCCACCATACATAGTTTAAACTTAATAAGAACAAAATCTGATTTTTACACTTCTGCTGTGATAAGAAAACATGAGCTCAGTGTAAAATCTATCCCATCACACCCTTACTTTGCTATTTTTGGTCCACTGATAAGTTACATAACCTGTTTCATGGCCCCTAATACCCACTACAACCCAGACATGAAGATGGGTGGTGGAAAAAGTCAATACGTCAACAGACCTTTCAGTGGGAACTTTCCTTTACTGGTGTCTTTTGAAGTTAGGTCCAACACATCTTCTGGAAGCTCAGCATATATCTCAAGAGTACCGTCTGTTATATGAATACAGTATAAAACCATGTTAACTCACCACATTTGACATCCATGGTAAGGGTAGGTGAGCTTTAAGCCAGAGATGAGATAAAAAAGGAGAGCGTGAGTCTGGTTCTGCTCGAGTTTCCTACCTATTAAAGGAAGTTCTTCCTCTCTACTGTAACTTGATAAATGCTGTAAAGTGTTTTACTCATGTGGTTGAAAATGAGGATTGAAGTGGGTCTGATCTTACAGTTTGGGCTGAATCTGATCTGATCCATCCTTATATTGGTCTTTGTAAATAGGGTCTGGTATAGACCAGCTTTTCATTGTTAATCACCTTGAGACACTTGTTTTGAATTGATGCTAAATGAATAAAGATCAATTGATTGATCCTTGGCTCTTTTTTTCCCTTCTATAACAAATGAGTTAATTTAGGGGTCATGCCACAAACACATTTTTTTACTCTCTACATTTTAGGAGCATTTAGAGAAGAAACTCATGATTATTATTTTTTGTGTGCCGTTGAAAGGAGAACCGTTTCTGAACAAACTATTAAGGTGCTGCTTGGAAAAAAAAAGAAGAAAAAAAAAAACAGCTGTAGAGTTATTGAAGGATTTTCTTCCAGTTGCAGTGATACATACAGTAGTTACTCTAACACCACAGAAATCTCACAATTCCATTTTTTTCTTTGTGAAGACCCCAATGAGGAGGAACATTCCCAAATATTTGGATCAGGTGTTCTTGGAGATACAATCAGATTACTGCCTGAACATATGGAGCAAACAAATCAGACAGAGTCAGTCACCATCACATCACAAATCCTCCCTAAAACAACAGATACGGAGGTAAATAAAACAGAGTGTTTTGGCTTAGCAGCAAATGTTTATTATGTCTTTTGTCAGGGTCTGAAAGGAGGAATAATAATTATTTAATCCCTAAAAAACCTGAGCGTCAGATCTGCCCTCCCACCTTCCCTTTCCCTGCAGCCATGGACTCTGTCTTTCAGCAGCTCCAGCAGCAGATGGGGGATGAAAGAGGGAGCCGGGGGAGCGAGGGAATGAGAACAGGTGGGGGTGAAAACTGAAGAAAAGGAAAAGGTCACAGGGGTCAACTGAAGCAATAGAAAGGGGAGGAAACTTACATATAGACCCGAGGAGGGACTGATCGATGGATGGATTTTTTCACTTTGCATTGTGCCTCTGAACCTGCGTCTCTTCACACCAGATGTCGACTAACTCCCGAAACGCAAAAAATGTTTATGGGATTAGGGATGGACGAAGAGGAAGAGGAAGAACCCGATGTTTGTTGTGCTAGTGCAGCTTTGGATTCAGTCATACAGAGGCTAACTCTTGTGTTAGAGCGTACAAAGAAATAATGCCTTTAAGGAATTTTTACATTTTAAATTTGATCAGGTTTAAGTTTAGTGTGACTATGCGCTTCTTTTCTAAAAAAGACATGGTCATAATTTACTCTGAAGGGGTGAGGGTGCAGTTTTATAGTCTCTTAAAGTGAATAAAGCTGGTTTAGGGAGGCTTTAGACTCAGGTTTAAGGGCCCCATAAAAACTGAAGGTAAACGACTGTCCTATAATGTGAATACAGCTGCCTATTCAGGACCTATGCCCCCCCCCCCAAAAAAAAAAAAAAAAAAAAAAAAACCTATAATGCTGCTGCCCCCTGCTTCCCTTGGATGGATGAAGAAGCCACAGCAGACTGTTGAACTCCCCCCAGTAACCCTCCTCCTCTCCCCCACCTCCCTGCTGCGGCACGCGGGGCCAGCCCCCAGCAGCTGTTCAAGGCAGAAGGGGAACAATGCAATCTGACTTAACTCAACCTCATTCTGCTTGAGTGTGTGTGTGTGTGTGTGTGTGTGTGTGTGTGTGTGTGTGTGTGTGTGTGTGTGTGTGTTTGGGGGGGGGGGTACTGTTTATGAGTATGAGATGAAGAACTGCCTCCTATTGATCTGGTGCCCCCCCCCCACCCTCAAAACCAAATGTCCTTTACTGTTATACCATCCTGTCTTCAAACACCATGCATCAGAATAATAAAGTTCTAAGGACTTCACATCTTCTACACTGGTGTGTAAACTCCATCTTCAATCAGATTTCACATTCAAACAATATGAAGTTTGAACTTCCATACATGGCTAAACCCAGTGCTGATCCTCATCTTGATCTCCGACCTGATCAAACTGAGCCATTACCTTTGGAAACACTGAGTATGTTTACATGCACCGTTCAGCCACAGGATGATTTGATTGGATTACTTTCCCAAAGTCTACAAGTTATGGGCAAGAGTCGATTTACTGACAAATTTATTGACTAATAAATCATATGGGGCATTGGAGGATAGGGTTTAGGTTTAATCCTAACCCTGACCTGGACCTTAGTTTCAAAAGTCTTTTTGTGTTCCTGACTGATGGGAGAACAGTTTCTGAAAATGGTCCAGTACTGAAAGAGAGCAAAGCAGCCAGCAGCCACCAAATGAGCTAAAACATAGTTTGACTGGGTAATTTTGCATCATCAAACTGTGTCCACTACAAGTGCTTTACTGGCTCAGATTGTTATTACAAGTCCCCAGAACAGAACAGCAGGGGTTTCTCTTACCCTTTACTTGTCTGTGTAAAATTAAGTCTATATGGTGAAGTGTTGATACAGTGTCTCACCAGATTTCACTCTGTCTGCAGTGACAGTGTGGATAGCTGAATTAGCGGGGCGGATAATAGCATATTACAGGAGAATCGTTCACTTGCGGATAAAAGCACCAAAATTGGCACACATACTCCTTAGAAGTTGCTTTTTTGATATTTCCGTCTGGCCAAATGAAAATTCAAGATGGCGGCCATTTTTCAAGATGGCCACCATTGAAAATACAGTAATATTGCATTTTGCAATAAAATCCCATAGACTTGTCCTATTTGGATGATCTTGGTGTCAAATCATACATTTTCCACTATGCAGAATCCAAATTTGGACCCATGGACTTACTTACTGGCTTCCTTGTACCATATTTCAGTCCCAGAATCCTAATATTCTGGTATTTATGAGGTTTACATCATGTGAGACTCAAGTAAAATGGTTGGTAACATATATCTTAATGTTGTTAGAGGTTTAGTGTGTGTGTGTGTGTGTGTGTGTGTGTGTGTGTGTGTGTGTGTGTGTGTGTGTGGGTGTGTGTGTGTGTGTGTGTGTGTGTGTGTGAGAGAGAGAGAGAGAGAGAGAGAGAGAGAGACTGGAAAAAATGTGTCTGAGTGTAAAAAAAATCCAAAAAAGAAAAATGCTTGACCTGCCTGCATTACATCTCACTTAATTATTAGGCAACACTTCTCACTCGCACATACACTTTCTTACAACATTACTATTAATCTGGCTGGGGTGGCACCATGCAGTCATGAGGAAGCTGACACCCAGATCTTTGTGCATGCCAGGCATGCCACAGAAGCAGGCCGCAAGGTCATCATGGTCAAAGCCAACAACACAGATGTTGTTGTCATTGCAGTGAGTGTTCTGCACTTCAGAACCTCGGTCTGCAGCAGTTGTGGGTTGCCTTTGGCCAAAGACAGAACCTGAAGTGGTTTCCTGTTCATGACCTGTGTGGCACTCTTGCAGAAAAGAGCAAAGGGATGCTCTTCTTCCATGCATTCACTGGTTGCGATGTTGTTTCAGCATTCCGTGGCAAAGGGAAGAAGTCTGCTTGGCAAACCTGGAATGTTTGTGATGAAGCTTCCAGTGTCTTCAGCAAACTCAGCCATTACCCACCTGTATTGGATGATGAAGACCTGAAAACCCTAGAGAAGTTTGTGCTCATGTTGTACGACAGATCCAGCACAGCTGAAGGTGTCGACGATGCAAGGTTGGACATGTTTGCTCGGAAGCAGAGGCCGTA